AATTCTTAGAAGGTAACATTTAAAGAAATAATAAAAAAATGTCCTCACAAATTATATTATTATATAATTTCACTACTTATGATATTGCTTTGACATACAAACTACAAAATTTCCAAGATAAAAAGTTAAAAGAAAAAACTTTCTAAGTGAACTAGAAGTCAAAAATACTTCAGTTTTATCTCTGCTTTGCCACTAACCAGTAGAGCAAATGGTACTGACTAGAAATCAGGATGAAAAGGCACAGGGCTAGGACCACAATCACAAAGATACAGCTAAGAATGACCAACTTGGTTTCTGAGGGTCTTGGGCTTCTCACTATAGATATGAAGATTTAACTAGCTTGATATAATCTCTTTAACTGAAGTGAATTAAATATTCAAACTTCTGTGCAAATACTTAAATAAGTAACAGAAAATAACTGCAGAGCAAATCATGCTCTACGCTTAAATAGCAACAACCAAGAAGATCCTCAGAAATACACAATCAAATGAAGGCAGAACTCCAAACACCAAGCTCTGTTGGAGTCACACAGCTCCACGTCTGGGGATTCTCCCCTCACTCATTGGGAGGAAAAGGGAATTATGGAGGTAGAGTTTGGTGTAAAATGCAACCGTCTGGCATATGGTAAAAGAAATTCTAAAGTTATGGAAGGAATAATTTTTAATAGCAAAACGGTCTAAGCCAAATACTAGATTAGATAGGAAAGAAGCAAGGAATGTAGCTTTGTATGTAGTAACTTAAAAAGGTCATTGCCCCAATTTTCTCACTTTTTTTAAGTAGGAATGAGAGTCAACAAAGATTTTATTTACAAAAAAGCTGTATATTTACAAAAAACCTATACATTCTTGGATTTCTTTTTCAAACTTAACTTACATCATTACGTATAACCTCCCTGGAATCTGCTAACAAGTCCATCAATCTTGAAACACCTGGAACATACAACCACATGAAAAGTGCTGGCAGACAAAAAATATAAATAGTGATTCAAATTGTTAACAATTCATGAACACATTGTTCCAGTCCCCTACTTGAGGAAATTATCCTCATTTTTTAATTGAAATGACATAGCAAAGTTAAGTCACTTACCCATGGGACTAACTAAAATAATTTGTTGCACCTGAGGCCCCAGCTGTTTTAAAAGAGAAGTAAGAAGCTTGACAGCAGGCCAACGGACATGGAAATCAAACTCCTGCAATATAGGAATTTAAAATATTTAACATCTATAATTCACATTTTCAAGAAAAACATTTTTTCTCAACTTTTAAAAAGTGATACCAGAAACTATAAGTTAAAAATAGAAGTTCACCAAAGTTTTTAAAAAAGTATTTTAAGAAATAAAAAGAAAATAGTTAACATATAATAAAACAATTAAATTGATCAAACTATCACCGATGGGCTAAAACAGTATTTTGTAAATACAGAAATAAGAAGCATTTAAGAGTATTTATTTCTTAATATATGCTTGTGGATCTCTTCCGATAGAATAAACTTCACTGCCTTTAAAGGTGTGTACATATTGCTTCTTCAGTAACATCTACAAAGGCAATAAAAGAAGCTATTAAGATGAAAAAAGAAGCTATTTACCTCCAATAAAGACAACAGAAGAGTGACGTTTTCTTGTTGCTTAATGAAAATTTCTGTAAACTGGCTTCCCAAATCCTCACTCTGTCTTGTTGAGTTTTCTTCTGTAATTCAAAGATAAGAACTTCAACATGATGATATGTTATTTTAAACTAAGGATCCTTTAATTGAAGAATTAAGCAGAAATGATATGCTTCTTGAAACAGTATGGCTGGTAATAACACAGTTATGATGTAAAACTATATCCTTAAAATAAACTTTCATATTCACTTAAATTCTTTTTAATTTTTTGAGTGCTTAAATATGCTATCTGAAGAAAAGATAATTAAATATTCACATTTTCTCAATGACATTTTTACCTTAAATTTCTATTAGGGGTTAGGAAATTGAAGTGATAGAAATATTCTGTCTTGAATGTGGTAGTAAGTACACTTTTGTATACTTCTGCCCAACCTCACAGAACTCTACAACTTCAAATAGTAAATTTTACTGTATATAAACTAATCTCAACCCCCACATCCTGCAAATATTAGCCAACAAGTAGTCCTTTCTAATTGTTAGTGTTAACTGTAGTTACTGTAAAATTAAACCAATTATCTGTATATTCGCCAGTATTTTTTTCACATTCATATCCTATAAAATTATTTGGTGATAAAAATCAGAATTTTAGCCAGGGGTGGTGGTGTGCAGCTAAGGCAGGAGTACTGCTTGAGCTCAGGTGCAAGAGACCATGGTTACTGCACCCCAGCATGGGCAACAGAGCAAGACCCTGTCTCAAAACAAACAAACAAATAAATAAGAACAAAAACCAAACCAAACTAAAATAAAACAAAAAACCTCCTCCATATTTGACATTTAATTTACCATTTATTCTTTAAAAGATTTTGCTTTTGCTCTTAATGCTTAAAAGTCTTTTAAACTATTTGTTGTTTCAATGTACTTTGTCAAAAAAATGAAAAGGAATACTAAAATGAGAGCAACAATTGCCAAAAGGAATTATCATTTAAGATCTGCCTATATTCTTTTTTTTTT